TCCCCCTTGCGCAGCCTGCTGCAGCCAACCCCTCCTCAGAGCGCCCCGGCTCAGCGGAGGGAAAGCTGGGATCCCTGCGGCTGTGCCGGCCTGACACTCCTGCAGGAACAGGAGGGCTGTTCCTGCGGGAAGAGCCTGCCATATCCCGGTCGTGCCTCGCTCTGCAAAGCGAGCTGCGCAAGGCTGACAGTGCTGGAAAGCTTGCCTGGGCTGCTTCGGGAACCGAACGCCTCGCTGTGAAGGCAGGCGATGCCCCTGCATTCGGGCAGCGCGGCTAGGGGGGCAGAGGAGCGACTAGGGGTGTCCTAGAGGCAACTCGCAGAGCTCTGACAGGGCGGGGGTGTTGCTGAAGCAGCCCAGCAATAGCTGCAGAAGGGTCAGTCCCACCACAGGAGGGGAGACTGCCAGGTTTGGCTTTAGTTAACGAGGGCCCTTTTGCCCCTCCACCCCGCGGACAATAACCAGGAACCAGGGGTTTTCTGCACAGTCGTGTTTTTCTGAGACCTGCAAGCATACAGCCAGAGAAAGTGAAGATGGCAGGAAAGAAAACCAGGTGCCCTAATTCCAGGATGCAGTCTGCCTGGACCTGCCCTGCACTTTGGCAATACAGGACACCTGACAGCACAATCATTTACAGTATGTTTATTTCTCAGTGCATTACATGAAAGGTCTTTGGTATTTGTGGGTTCTTCAATACTGTTCCCACTCTGCTCTGTAAGAAAATGCTGAATACAAAACATTCCATATACAGTAACAAAACCCATAGCAAATAAAGAGAAATAGATAATTTGAACAATAACATAGCAATATGAAAACAGGTAAGTAACCATGCAAGAGGTGGAACAAACAGGTTGTGTTTACAACAAACATTAGAGCCTGCCATAAATGAGTTCATCGTGCCAGATGAGATTTATTCTTGCTCTAAGTTACGAAATTACACATGATTGCAAGATAGTGCGTACGGCTGCCCTATAAAAGATCAAATGGTTGTAAAGCTTATTACAATGAGAGAAGCCGGGACCATTTGCACACATACGAAACACACTGATATAAATAAAAAAATACTGTGTAAAATAACTAGTGACAAAGTTAACATTTCCTTCTATGGATGGGAATGTGCTTGGTGAACGATCGTAGCACCTTTGAATTGCTTGGTTTCAACACAATCGCAGAAACTGCAAGTAGCTTAAACCCCTACCCCACCAAACACCAGAATGCAATGTCATCTCGAATCAGACAGAAGCTGTAAAAGGGGGGGAGAATAGATTTCCACTAAACTGTATCAAGAAGTAACTCCAGAAGCTGATTGTCTTTTAGAAGCCTTTGTCACAGTGGTCAGGTTCCTACATTAAAATACTTCATCGCAGAGACTGGGAGTGACCCCAGTCCCAGAGCCAAACTCTCAGAAAGCTGCTTGTGAGCCATATGCTCTGCTCCCCCGAGAGCAGCACCAGTCTGCGCTGGCTGAAGATCTGGATCTGGGTTTTATGGCCTGTCCCTTTGGAAGTTGACGGCAAAATTATTTTGGAGTTTGGTGGGAGCAGGTGAGGGCTCCTCTCTCTAGTTTATTTCTAGTTCCCTGGGTTGCTTTCAATTCTTTACAGTAAGTGCAAATTAGATACTCAGAGAGAAGCATTCTCTGCCTCCCAGGAGTACCAGATTGCTGGTAAACACGAGGGTGCACGAATTGCAAAGATTTTTGGTTGTGCAATGTGCCGCTGCTGCTGCTTCTGGTGAGCTCAAGGCAAGGAAAAAACGTTACTACTACCAGAACTGATCCAAGTCAAAACCACAGCGGAGCTCAAAGAAACATTAAGAATTTCAAAAAAGTCTTAGGAAAAAAAAAGGAAAAAGAACACACTATGGTATTGCACAGTATGCACATAAGATAAAGCACTAAACATTTCAATTAAAATATATTTCTAAATGAGCACGCATTCAAAATAAATCCACTCTCTAAGTTACAACATGGCAAGATGCATTATATCCCCTGGCTGAAATGAACCTTAGGTGTCCTGCCTAAGATGGAAAACGTGGTCGGAGTGGTTTGCTTAGTCATGAATATCATTAATGTCAGCATGTGAGGCTGCGTTCACCTTTAAAACATAATTAAACTGGGACTGCACAACAGTGTGGTCCAACCCTTGATGGAAGCAGAGAGGAACGAAACCCCAGCTGAGAGAGAAAGTCCACTTGGTTTAATCCTGCTGTCACCCAAATTAAAGATACAGTACCGCAGAAGAGAGAGAGATGTAGCTAAATAAAGCAAGAAGTGCGGGGAGAAAGCAATTACATAGCTCATACAGAAATCTGGAAAAGCAAATAACTAAAATGGTTGCAAGCCAAACCTAACCAGTCTTTTGACAATTGACTTAGCAGGATTCATCGCAAACGACTGCCATTAAATTTCCTTTCATCTTGCCAGTAATTTGTTTTAAATAATTTAAAATCCAAAATCCTAGTCAATAGGAATGACTTGAAGAGTGCACTCATCAAGCTAATGCAATAGCTCTGAATTCAGGAGCACAAACTCAGAGGAAGAAAAATGTCTCTTTCAATTCAGTGTGAACGCTCCAAAACGTCCGGGAAGCAAAAATGGCCCCATTGCCCTCCCTCTTGCCCAAATTCAACCCTGCAGGTACAGGACCAGTGATGTCAAATTTTGCCATTTCCCTTTTTAAAGATTGCTTTGGCTTAGTTTAGCTCCCGAAACTGCCATGAGGAAACGCTCTTAATGTGCCAAGTGACTATAGCTAGCACCAGCCCGCCCAGCGTACACATTTAGTCTGAACTGGGATTTCCCCTCGGTCTTCAGGGCCTGATTTCCAACACCTTCAGGTAGGCGTAAGGGGCTCTCTCCTGGAAGCCACCAGCTGTGTCTTGTCATGTCCCTGTGACCAAGACCAGACACTCCCTGTTCAACAAAGCACTAATCAAGGACTTCTCAATTCCTACACAGTAATCATCCTGGGGAAACAGCTTTTTTTTTCATGTTTAATTCTTAAATGGAAAGACTATTCTGAGAATGTATCAGGGGCTGCACCACACTTCACTGTCCATTAACAGAGCTGTTCCCTCGTGGCAGTGAATGAAGGGGCACGGGCTGCTCTACGGCACTTCAGTCACCCGCTACATGCTGGAACGTTGAGCTGTTTGTGCCTGGTTTTAGGCTGAGAGCTGGTTGCCAGCCCTCTTTAAAACACTGATTTAACTCCGCCTCATTTATATGCATATTGTCATTCGAGTTAGTGCTGGCTTTGAAACTAAGATGCATTCAGGAGACTTTATTTCATTTTCCCCATGGGGTTATGAATAGAGGACAACTGCTCGAGGTCAGTAACCTGCTTGACTTCGGCAGTTTTACTTGTTTTCTTGTCTTCTGACTGTACCACGCTCCAGCTGTAGTTCAGAGCAAGGCGGGCAGAGGAATGCTGGAGCCCCAAGCAGCTCTTGGCAACGCTCTGCATTCTTGGGAAAGAGAGCACCGGACTGTGCCTTGCCTTCAGCTCCCCAGACTTCTGTAATGCTTTGGGCTCGTTTCTTTGCAGCCTCCAAAGGAAAGCTTGAGCAGGCGGCAGCACAACCTGAGCTACGTGGGTCGATGGCTCCACCGCCGGCGCCAGCCAAGCAGCGCGAGATTCCCAAGCAGGGCAGGGCAAGGCAGCTACCGCAGCCTCCGAGCAGCCTCCACCGAGGCTGTTCACTATTTAGCTGTGCAGCAGTAAAAAGCTTCGGTATGAGGGCAGATTTCTGGTGCTGGCTCAGCATCACTTACACCACTTACACCACTTCACCTGTTTTGAGAAGGACGGATGGATTTCTAAAGAACAGGGCCAAAGACACGTAGTGAATTCAGTCATCCTGAAGTAGCCTGTAACCTGTTCATTTCTGAAATTATAATGCTCTTCAGAGGAAAGATTTGGATGTTCTGATGTCTCTGTAGATCTACAATGTTTACTATGTCTGTGGAAAGCTAATTTAATGGGTGGCTAACGCTGGGCTGGCAGAGCTCCTCCCTTGTTTTGACAGAAATACTGTGGCAGAACAGTTTGCCTTTTTCAGACAGCTGTATCTTGTAGTGGGAACCAGGCAGAATGTGACCAATTCACCTGACTCTGACCTATGCCTTAAAATGACAAACACAAACTCACTTTCTTCCTGGGCTGAATTTGAAAACTGTCAGAATGGGGGGGAGGGGGGGATTAAAAAAAAAAATAAATAGTACCATTGCTCCTGTTGATTAGTCTCACCCTTTCTAACAAAAATCACTGTCTACATGAATGACATCAACTTGTCCAATTTGGTTTGCACAGCAGGTGTAGTGAGTCATTTGTCACTGAAGGGCAGGTTCAACTTCTTAACCCTGGAGCTGGGACTTCCCCCAAAATAACAAGTTACTGCAAAAAGTAAAATGACTTTGTGTTCAACTTCCAGTGCAAGATAAGCTCTTGACAAGACTGTAATTCCTTAGAACGTGGTTTGCCACTACACTGTCTCCACATTCAAATGGAAAGGATTTACTCACAAGGTAAAAATGAAACAGTATGAAAACATTTTTCCTCATTGACGCAGGATTAAGAATCTATTGAAAATATCCTTTTCTGTGAGCAGTTATTGCTACTACTTTGATTATCTCTGGATATATGCATAAACTGAACACCATATGGGAAAACTCTTGCACAATTCCATCATATCTCATATAAACTGCTCTATATTTTCACAGAAACAGTCTAATCTCACTGAAGATAGACAGAAAGTCAATGTTGCCACGAACATTTGCATCAAAAGTCCTTGCTTAGCCAACCACGAATAGAAATAATGCCACTCACAGGCAATTAGCAACACCAAAAGCCAAGATTTTGATGCTAAATTCCAGAGTAACCTGCATTTTCAGAGTAATAGTTTTAAATGTTCTTTGAATTTTTCAATTTCTTCTTTGCTTAAAAGAAATCCTTGCAGGTGAGAATGCTCTAATGGCCTATGACAGTGGTATTTGGAGCTGGCTGTCAGCGTGACGCCACTACATGAAATAAAAGCAGACGCCATCAACTACACCAATGGACAAGGCTAAGGCTTGGCTTTGAGTCTGGATGGGACTGATGGTCTCAGCCAGTTAAGCAGTGCTTTAACTGAGTAACTTTCAAGGGCAGCGAGGAAACGAGGGGAGGATTAAACTCTTGAGATGCAGTCAGGAGGTGCCGTTTCGTTATAAGGCTTCTGAGGATACCCACCACCTGGTATTCCAAAGGCAAACCAACAAAATCAAGCAAAAAGTTCATCAGACCCTCTCTGAGCTATGGATAAGACATTCCCTGCAATAAGGGCGTAGTATTGGCCAGGTAAGGAACCCAGTTGCCAACACTGCAGCCTCCTACCCACTTCATTTGCACTCTGCAATTAAGCACTGGGATACTGTATCTTTAACTGGTGAACAGGCATGGAGATGTTCCTACTTCATCCGATTGCTTCTCCTTCTGGCTTCACTGTCATCCAGCAGTGAAGAGAGGATCTGGTAGGCCTGCGGCTGCTGGGGTCCTCCACGTTTGATCTTGATGCTGGTTCGCAGAGGGGAGCCCGGGATCACGTCTTGTCCAGAGCCTGGCTCAATGGAAGACAAAGAGTCTGTAAGGAGAGAAAGTCACGGG